GGCCTGGCAAAACCAACACTTAAGCCGTGGAAGATATTAAATCATCGTGTGGACCTAACGCCAACGTGATGCCACGTTGTTTTCCTCCTCCGGTGGGCAGATCGCATGAGTGAAGATGACACGTGATCACTTCCGACTCGCTATTTAGACATTCGGTGTTACGGGATTCTCTGACCGGCCGACATGCCCCGGAAATCGACCACCTTTCTTAAAAGGAGGGGTGGGGGTTGACGGGGGGGGGGGGGGGGGGGTGGGGGGGGTAGTGTAAGGAATTTTCCTAAATTCCTTACTAGGTCACTCCATGCGCGTACAATTCGAACTTTCGAAATTCCAGGCTCGGTCCGACGACCTCACCTTTCGAATGTACTCCGCATCGCCTTCGGGCTTTGGCAAACCCAAACCAGCACCCAACCATCGCGACCCCGCGGACCCCGCCTAGCTAGGCTTTCACTATATCTGTGCTATGCCTCGCTATTCGGTCAGTAGTTCTAACCACTTCCGCAATATTGCATTCTGCACACTCTTTCATTGTACAGCTCATAACAACATTGAAGAAGGAAAGTCAAAAGGTGGTCGTATGATGTTGTTTAGGTGTAGCAGAGGTGGGTTAGGGAAGCGTGAAGGCCAACAAACGAGTCACATCAAACGTGGGCAACCTCATGGCGAGGATCAGGGCCCAAAAAATCGGGGTAAAATACCCTTTTTGCCCTAACGAGCGGCCGCTTTTTCCCAGTTACCCTTGCAAAATCACTGTATCAAAACTTTTACCCTAGAGCCAAAAGGCAAACATAAATTTCACCCTGATACAGATTTATGTTACCCTGTCTGTACTAGGGTGCTATGCGCATTACACTGATACCATAACTTTTCTAGCAAGAATCCGCACACACATAGCGTATTGACAAATTTTGCCACGGTCCCACTGCCACCCTTGTCGCTATCGATCACGGGTGCAAAACCGGAAAATATTGTAGATGGCCTGCCTTTTCGTGCTATTGGTTGTTTGACCCACAATTGCACCAACGCACCCCAAATTCCTGCCACATCACGCCATTCCCACTGCCAACAGAGAGAATTAGCGAGCCACCTGAGTTTCGTGATGTCCTTTGCAGCACAGTGCAGTCGTTGCAGTGATACAGTAACAGACATGCATTTTCCGCGCGTTGCAAAACTGCAGTGCAGACAGCCTAACTGCAAGTTTACCCTTGCCAAATCAGTGTATGGTAGATTTTAGGATGATTCCAGCAGGGTACGACAATTTTTACCCTAACGGTCAGGGTAGTGAGGGCCTTCAACCCTGATTTGTCAGGGTGGGCCTTAACCAATTTTGGGCCCTAGCAAGGATGAATCAATTGAGCGTGATGGTAGCCGAAGGTTCGCCGGGGTTGGAGCAAAGTTTGTTTGCCAAGGAAACGCATCGCGCTAAAGGCTCAGCCTTTTCATACCTAGAGGTCCGCCGACCGTTTGATGCTCCTAATTCCGACTAGGCAAGCTTCAGATTTCAAGTGTCTCACATTCCTGCAAATTCCCGTGCCATAAAACCTGCCAAAAAAGCACTCGTAACAATTAAAAAGGGTCGAACTTACCGGCTAACAGCACATTGAAGAAGGAAAGTCAAAAGGTGATCGTATGATGAGGTGGGTATTGGTGTAGCAGAGGAAGGTTAGGGAAGCGTGAGGACGAACAAACGAGTCACAGCAGACGCGGGGAGCCTCATGGCGAGGATGGATCGATTGGGAGAGATGGTTGCCGAAGGTCCGCCAGGTTTCTTTGCGAAGGAAACGCATCTCGCCAGAGGCTTCAACCTTTTTTACTAGGCAAGCTTCGGACATGTGATTCACCCCTTTCGGGTTCCTGTGCGATCGTTGCTCTCGACGCAACAATCGTGTGCATCGCATCATCAGCGCTCCACGTTCCCCAGTCGCAGCAGGTGCGAATCCACATCGCTAGTGGGCGCCGCCTCGCAACCCTCGTGTCCATCTCTGCGCCCCTCGCGTCGCTCCCCACGGCGCTCGCCCTCACCCCTTCCTTCTCACCCTGCGGACGATTCGCGTCGACTCCCTGATCCGCGACCATTGCGGTCGAAGTCGACGGTACCTCTTGCGCACTTTCCTCGCCGACGCTCTCTGCGCAAACACCATTCCCCGTCGCCCCGCTCCCACCCTTTCGACTCCCTCGCTTTGCCACTCACAGCGTCGGCCCTCCCCCGCAGCACCTCCCTTCCCCGCTGTCCGCGCAGCACCTCCCTTCCCCGCTGTCCCCGCAGCACCTCCCTTCCCGCTGTCCGCGCAGCACCTCCCTTCCCCGCTGTCCGCGCAGCACCTCCCTTCCCCGCTGTCCGCGCAGCACCTCCCTTCCCCACTGTCCGCGCTGCAGCTTTCTTCCCGCTCCTCCCAATTCGTGGCCGCTGCGTCTGTCGCAACGATTTTCCGCCGCCTCGCTTTCTTCTTCTTCTCCGTATCGCGCAAGCCTCTTAATCCCTTCTCGCCCCCATTTCCTTCGCCCGTTCTTTCCTCTCTCTCTTCCCAAACCCCCTCCCCCCTCTATCCCCTCTGCCCCCTTTCCCCTCCCTCCTCCTCCTTCCTCCCCCACCCCATTTTGCCCCTTTCCCGCCTTTTCCCTTCCTTCGCGCCATCCCCTCTGCGATGCAAGCTGTTCCCTCTTGTCCTCTCTCATCTCCTCTTGTCCCCTCTGCCCCCTATTGTCCCCTCTTATCCCCTCTCCTCCTCTCTCATATCCTCTCATCCCGTGGGCTCATTGTTCAGGCTCTCACTTCACCACGACTCATCGCATGCCATTCTGTCTCCACTGCAGGTCGCCCGGGGATCCACGTGCTCCTCCTGCAGTAGAGCACGATTCGCAGTAGTGCGTTTGCTCCCTTACGCCATTCGCCATTTCCATTTCAGCTTCCTGTTGCTGCTGCCTGATCGGCGTTCCCACACTGTCAGGCAGAAGGAGCACACCCGGGGCAGAGGAACCACATGTAGGCCAGGCAGAGGGACTGACAGCAAGAACGGAAACCATCAGGCAGTGGGTCAATTGTGACGCGAGAAGAAAGGAAGAGGGCTAGTTAGGTCGACTTGTACTGGCAATGGAGCGCCCACCACGAGATGAGGCCACAACAGGAGGTTCGTCCACGTCAGATTCGTCCACATCATCACTGCTGGATCGTGCCACGTCAGCAGTTGTGGCGATGCGTCAGCACTGCGAGGACTATCCATATGTGTGGGCATCCTATGGCGTCACCTTTGGTATGGATATCTTTCCTTGCACCAGTTGCTTGATGCTGCCATCCTGCCATCCATCACTCATCCATTTCCTTTTTTAGTTATACACTGTTAGCTGTTTCGTTCTCACTACTGATTCTCTTTGGCACAACCTCACTCAGATCACATTCTCATATCACAGCCTTTCCACCTTCTCGTCCTCTCCACCTTCCCCTCGTCCTATCCCATGACTCCTGCAGCCTTGATGGGATTTTATTCTGCCCGAGCATGGCAAAGGCTGCGGCGGGCTGAGGATGATGTTTTGCGGTTGCAGAGACAGCTAGGAATAAAAGCAGAAGATTTCACCCCTCGCTTCATCCAAAAGGAGTCCTCTTCATCCCAACCAAGTGCTCCATCCGGACCCCCCTTGCCCCGAAAAAATCCCAGCGTGCCGCCTTAGAAGCCAGACTGTGGAAAAATTGTGTTCAAGCATTATGGGAAACAAAACAAATATTCAAATTTGTATTATACAAGAATGCAAGTGGGTGCCAAGATAACTTTTATAGGGTGAGACTTTGTTCGCAGATCAAAACATGTACCGTACTGAACATTCCAAATTCCGACTCTACAGTACCTGAATTGTAACGGGCAGGCCACCACCGACCTCCGCTCTCTTGGGATCCTCGATGGCAAATTCCCAACTTCCCGCCTCCCAACCACCCAGTGCATCCTCGGAATTCCCAAAGCCTTCGCGCGTTTCGAATTAGCACGGTGAATCACAGAAAAAGTTTCTGGTAAGGAGTTGAGCTGGAGGCAAGCGAAGTACGGAGGTGAGGAGAGACGTTGCGACGACATAGACTGCAACGAAACAGGGGTGCGACGAAATAGACTTCGACGAAACAACCTGCGACGAAACAGCGACAAGACAGGCTCGGACGAGGCGAGCCGCGACGAAACAGTCTGCGACGAAACGGGTTGCGACGAAACGGGCTGCGACGAAACCTTCTGCGACGAGACGGTTTGCGCGGAGCATGGGGAATGAAGAAGGGAGCTCAAGAGCTTGGATGGAGAGGGGGAGCGAGGACGAGATCCGATATAGCGCGCTGGATCTTATAAAGCGGATGGAGGGGGACGGTTCGTGGAAACTACCGTCCGAGCGAAGAATGCAGGTTGGTTAGGTCGAATCGGTGGTCGTCTTCGCCCGTGGCGTTCCGTTGGGATGAGGGCGGTGCCTGATGGGATGAGGGGGGAGCAAACAAACAAATGCTATTCACGGTTGCGACGCGGCGCAGGTTATCCAGCCTCCACTCTCTTTCTCCTCGCGATCCTCTTGGAGCAACGGTCGCTATTGTGGGTATGGCTGTTGGTGGTGGTCGAAGGCTGGTTCAGATGGACTGGAGGCAACCATCCGTAGCGCCTCGTGCACACCCAGTTGCGACACCCGTCGCATCCCATGCCTCATTCGTTGCGTCTGGCGACCGATACGGTTGGGGACCCTAGCAGAGGGGAACTATGAGGGGAAGCACACCTGACGAGGGAAATCATTTGATGAGGCTTAGCGACTAGGAATTAGCGACTTGTCTCATCCCCCTCCACTAGGAATTAGCGACTTGTCTCATCCCCTCCCTCTCGTCTGCCTGCGTCGGGTGCCCCAAGTGCGGCTGCAGCACTCGTGGGACTGTGGCGTGGCGTGTCTGATGCTCCCCGCATGTCTCCCTCCCTGCCTGCATGACTGCCCCACACTTCATGACTCTCCTCGCCCCTCGCCTCTCCCTCCCCGCCACCATGCATCAGGTGCCGCACGTGAGGCAGCAGCACTCGTGGGACTGTGGAGTGGCGTGCGTGCTCATGGTGCTCAAGGCGCTCCAAGTCCCCATCCACCCCGTCCAAACCGAGCCCACGCAAAGCATCCCGATCGTCCATTCGCTACAGCCAATCAGAGCATCTCCTGCCATGCCTGCTGCTACAGCCGCAACTAGATCCTCAGGATCAAGCGTGGTTTTTCCAGTAGCACATTCAGCTACAGCTGTGATCCATAACCCTGCTACAGCCGCATCCCCTGCTCTTGTAGCCAGAGCTACAGATACGGACTCAGACCCAGCTACAGCTGCTGCTACAGCCTTTGCCTCGCCCCCACCCAGCAGCGCAGCCACTGGCGCAGCAACCAACAGATTCCCAGCAGCCGTCGCTCAGCCCGCCATATCCCCGCTAACAGCGGACTCGTTTGCGTTAGAAGCACCTCACGAGGAGCTTTCCTTGCACGGGTCAGCCCAGATGGTTCAGGGAGATGAAACGGGAGCACAGGTTGAAGCGGTGCGAGAGAGTGCTGCTGTGGCGCGCAGCTGCCTGACCGACAGGGCGTCTGTGCGTGTTGCTGAGGGCGCTCATGCCACGTGGGAGTCCCTGGAGCCAGTGGAGGGTGCTGTGGGGTGTGGGGATGTGGGAGAGGGTGCGAATGGGTGCATGCACACAGGACATGGTGCTGCTGATGAGTGCACATGGATGCGCACAGCAGTGGGTGCAGGGGTTGCCGCAGAGGGGCTGGTGAGACGAGGGTCAGCAAGGGGCCGTGGCTGTGCGGTGCGAGGTGGTGAAGGGGGGTGTGACGCGGTACACGACACGACACAAGACATGCGAGCGGTAGCATGTGCAAGTGCGGGTGTAGGGAGGGGGAGGGCCGGCGGGAGCAGGGAGGCATGTGAGCTGCAGCATCTGCACCGCCAGTGCGGCACCACCAGGTGATTCTAATTCAACATCTCTTTCAATGAGGAATGGGCGGGGCATGGCATGACGCATGATATGGCATGGCGTGAAGTGTTGGGTGTATTTCACTGCATCCCATGTGTGGCATAGTATGTGGTCTAATCATGATGCCACACACAACACAATGACAGGATGACATGAAAACAAGAACATATGTGCCGTCTGCCTACCCTCTACCCAAAACCCCCTCTCCCCCCTCCCCCACTCCCCTCCCCCCCCCCCCCCCACCCTCCTCCTTTCTTCCACAATGAATTGCTCGTTTTCAGCATAACTCCTTTCCGCCTTGCTTCTCCCCTTCCACCCAGTATATCCCCACCATCCCGCACACCTCTCGCCCCTCCCCTCGCACCCCCGTGCTCCCGGCGCCCTGTGCCCTGTCCAAAGCGCCCTGCGCCCTCTGCCCGCTACCCTCTGTCCTCTGCCCTGCCTTCTTCGTTCTGCCCTCTGCCCGCTGCGCCCTGCCTCCTGCTCCCTGCTCCCTGCGCTCTGCGCCCGCCACCCATGGCAACAGTGTGTGGAGCATAGACCTGGTGGCGCTGCTGCAGCGCCACGGCGTGGGGGTGGAGTTCCTCACCGTCACCATCGGCGCCAACCCCTCATTTGCCTCCCAGCCTTTCTACAAGGTGCGCCCTCCTCCTCCTCCTCCTCCTCCTCCTCCTCCTCCTCCTCCTCCTCCTCCTCCTCCTCCTCCTCCTCCTCCTCCTTCTCCTCCTCCTCCTCCTCCTCCTCCTCCTCCACCCCCCTGCTCGCCAGCAATGTCCCTAACCTCCCCCCGCCCTGTGTACAGGAGAGAATGTCCCTCAGATTTGAAATTGCCCCTCAGATGAACCCAAGAATGTTTTTCAGATGAACCCAAGAATGTTTTTCAGATGAACCCAAGAATGTTTTTCAGATGAACCCAAGAATGTTTTTCAGATGAACCCAAGAATGTTTCTCAGATGAACCCAATAATGTTTCTCAAATGAACCCAAGAATGTTTCTCAGATGAACCCAATAATGTTTCTCAGATGAAGCCAAGAATGTTCCTCAGATGAACCCAAGAATGTTTCTCAGATGAACCCAAGAATGTTCCTCAGATGAACCCAAGAATGTTCCCCAGATGAACTCCCGTTTCTAGTTTCCCGAGCATGCCGGGGGACGTGAAGAGGTTCAATCCTCTCTCTGCAGACATCCATGAGGCCAACGCCTATTTCTTGCTTCCCTCGCTTGATCCCCACTCATTCCCCCCCTTCACCCCCACCTGTCCCCGCAGGAGAACATGCCAGGGGACGTGGTCCGGGTCAATCGTCTCTTTGCCGACACCATACGAGCCGGCGTGCGCATTCAGGTGGGAAGGGCGTTGCTGTGAGTGGTGGTGCGGGCGGGCTGGCATGTCTGTGCTGCGCTGGTGAGGGCGATGCTGTTTGCTTGCCTCGTGAGGGGGACTTTCAATCAAGCAATGTCTTTTTCTGGCACGGGCCACAAGCATGGCTACAAAAGCAATTCTCATGCCCAGTGTTTTCCACTCCACCTCTCTTTCTCCCTTCCTCCCCGCCTCCGCTCCGCTGCACCTCCCTCCTCAACACGTGCTTCTGTCAGCCATCCTCCCTTCTTTTTATCTCATACCTTTGAGATCGTCAATGAAGCACTTGCTATTGTGATTTTTGTTCGTCCGTCCAATGCCCGTCTTTTTCCCACTCTACCTTGTCTCATCTCACCTCACTGCACCTCACTGCACCGCACCGCACCATCCTCAGTGTGCGTCAATAGGCATTCAGCATCTGGCTTGGCTGCTCCTCTCTGGTCGCTACCTCATCATTGCCCTCGTGGATAAGCGCAGCATCACGTGAGTCACTCGTAGCGCAGCATCACGTGAGTCACAAGCATTTCAGTGCCAGCAATGCCTCTTGTGCGTACTATTCAGCTGTGCACTGCACTGTGTTGTTTCTGCTGCTGTCCCTCACTGCCATGCACACCATATGCCGCCCTCCCATGCCCGCCCTCCCATGCTCGCCCTTCCATGGATGCCATCTGTCAGTGACCATGGTGCAATGCAACCCCCCTCCCCTTCCCCCCTCATCCCACCATACCTGCATGCAGCCATCCACTGGCATCAGAGCGTTGCCCTCCTGAGTGCTGCGGACCCACTCCAGGCTACATTGGTGGGTGCTGCTGCGTGCTGCTGGGTGCTGCTGGGTGCTAGTGGTGGGTGGTACCGTGCTGGTGGTTGCAGGTTGCATTGGTGGGAGCTGCCTGCATGAGTGCATTGATCAACTCATGTGGTGCTGCATGCATGTAGCGCATCTCCCTATCTCTTCTCTTGCTGCATGCATGTAGCGCATCTCCCTATCTCTTCTCTTGCTGCATGCATGTAGCGCATCTCCCTATCTCTTCTCTTGCTGCATGCATGTAGCGCATCTCCCTATCCCTTCTCTTGCTGCGCCCCCATCTCCTGCTCCTCTCTGGATCCTTGTCTTCATCCATTCCTCCTAACCTTGCTTTGTGTAACCCTTGACCTCGCATGTGCGTTTGTCCCATCCTGATGCCTCTCATGCCCTTTGTTTCCCTTCCATGCCCTCTGTATAGCGATCGACCGGCCTGCCCGTCTCTTCATTCGCCGCGCCATGCCTGTCCTGGCAGGTCACTTCGTGGTGCTCTGTGGCTTTGACAGCCACTCGAAGATGTTTGAGATCTGCGACCCCTCCTCGCATGGGTATGTGCTTCCTCTCTCCTCGCATGGGTATGTGCTTCCTCTCTCCTCGCATGGGTATGTGCTTCCTCTCTCCTCGCATGGGTATGTGCTTCCTCTCTCCTCGCATGGGTATGTGCTCCCTCTCTCCTCGCATGGGTATGTGCTTCCTCTCTCCTCGCATGGGTATGTGCTTCCTCTCTCCTCGCATGGGTATGTGCTCCCTCTCTCCTCGCATGGGTATGTGCTCCCTCTCTCCGCACATGAGTGCTCTTGTCCGTACACCACTTGGCATTCACACAGTCTTTTGTCAAATGAAACGCTTTCGTTGTTGCCGATGTACCCACAGCCACCACTCGTGCCTCTCTTGTTCCTCAACTTTTCCCCCTTCTTCCCTTGGTCTCTATTTTTCCGTCTTCCTGTCTTGTCGTCCCTTTTCGTTTTCTTCCCTCTCTTTTGATTGTTCTCCTCCTTCTCTTTCTTATTTCCGTCCCTTCATTTCTTTCTTCTTTCCTCTTGTTTCTTCTTCTCTCTGCTCTCGCGCTTTTCTTCTCCCGGCTTCTTCCCGCCGTCCCTCCCTTTTCATGCCTCCCCCCTCCAGTGGCACATCGTGGGTGCCGATGGCAGCAGTGGAGGATGCACGCATGACGTTCGGCACCGACCAGGATCTGATCCTGGTGAGCACAAATGGAATCTGGTGAGCAGGCTCGGAATCTGGTGAGCAGGCTCGGAATCTGGTGAGCAGGCTCGAAATCTGGTGAGCAGGCTCGGATTCTGGTGAGCAGGCTCGGATTCTGGTGAGCAGGCTCGGATTCTGGTGAGCAGGCTCGGATTCTGGTGAGCAGGCTCGGATTCTGGTGAGCAGGCTCGGATTCTGGTGAGCAGGCTCGGATTCTGGTGTGCAGGCTCGGATTCTGGTGAGCAGGCTCGGATTCTGGTGAGTAGGCTCGGATTCTGGTGAGTAGGAGCAGGATCCAATTCTGGTGAGCAGGGGTGTGTGGCATGAAGGGGAGACATGGGAAAACACATGTGGGTGGGTCATGGCGAAGTGTGGGGGGAGAAGATGAACATGTGCCTGGTAGGAGGATTGCATGTGGTGCTGCCGTGCTTAGCATAGGGTGTAACTCATTGTTGTGGTTGAGGAAAGCGCTTTGTAGTCATTCCGTTGTGAAGTTCACGACTCTGCTGAGCTGATTGTGTGTGGCAGATTCAACTTCCAGTTTTACCAGGGGACGTCAAGATGAGCAGTGCACTCGCAAATCACGAGGGAGTGTGTTGCTAACATTTCAAGCCACTTTCAGGAGCACGGTAGATAGATAGATTTACTACGGTAGGTTACAACAATATACCGTAGCTTGCAACTCAAGATAATAATGTCAGATGTGCCGGTGTACTGTTATGTGACACGTTCTAAAAAGTCCAACTGTACTGCTTATGGTTTCGACCCTGTTCTCGTTATTGAATTCGAGCGATGTATGGTACATGCATTGTACTGGGTAGTAAAGTTGCTCTAAGAGTATTTAAGTACAGAAAGGCAGTATTAAGAATTGCACACACCTGTCATTCTGTCTCCTCTGACTTCTCATTTCTGAAGTCAAGCGTAACGAGTACAACTCTCGGGACAATCTTGTCTTTGGAAGTTCGAAATTTCAACAGCGGTGCAAAGCGCCGCGCCCCTTCAGCACTACAACCCCAGCCACGTGTGACATTGCACATTTGTCAAACCAACGCTCTTGCATGCTCGTTGCGAGGGTGAGCGTCGTCAAAGAGTAGCCTTTCAACTTTTTTCGGCTAGCCTGTAGGATCACGCGACGCGACGGTATCTTGGCAGCGACGTGTTTTGATAATGGAGTCTCGAACGCGTCGCAAGGCCGCAAGCAGAAATCGGACTCGTAGTTGTCAGATAACCGACTTGGAGCAGCTAGGCGAAGGCGTGCGACGGCTCACGAACGAAGTTATTTACGGCGACGCCCTGCGATCCTTTGCGTGCGACGCGGGCACCCTGGCGAAGCACGGAACGCCATTCGCTAAAAAGGCGGGCGAAGAGTTACATCTCGTCAATACCCGCGTCTGGCTGCCTGCTAACGTTACTCCGCTTGACTCGTTGGCGCTTATCGCGTCGCAGATGAGCGCGCAGTCCTCGCCGATGATCGCGGTGTGTTTCGTAACAGACGTTCTTCACATCTCTCCTCTACTCCCCTTATTTTTATTCTGGAATCGTTTCTAACGTTGTTACAACCCTAGGCAACTTGTGTTGCTTGACTTTTTTTTCTCGACTTTTTAATTTTTGTCTCTTTCTTTTTTTCGCTGTAAACTTCTGCTCTTCACAGGACCTTCGCCGTGGCTTGCTGGAAGCGGGTCGGCCGCGCGTGGCCGGCTTGAGGCGCCTCTCCATCGGCGCGCTCAGGCTGCTCGCCGCCCTCCTCGGCCTCCCGTTCCCCCTCAACCTCCCCCCCGCGGGCCGACCTCCCGCTGCCCCTCTCGCCGCATTTACTCGCCACGCAACTTCCGCCGCAAGGAACGCCGCTTCTTCCGCTTTTGGTGCCAAAACTTTCCCCCAAAGCACGACCGCCGGTTGCGGGCGTTTGAAGGAGGAGCTGATAGACCGCGTTCTGACAGATTCCGTTTGGAAAAAGGGCGATTTGCCGGCCAGAGTTGACGGAGGAATGAAGGGGAGACGGGAGAGAATGATGACGGAAGGGGAGCTGCGCGCCGAGTGCGACGTGGGGCGGAAGGGGGTAGAAAGGCGGAGAGAGGCGGAAAGGGGGAGGGAGGGGGAAAGGAGGAGGAAGGGGGACAGCGGCAAGGAGGGAGAAGGGAGGGAGGTGGAAGGGGGGAGGGAGTGGAAAAGGAGAAGGGAGGGGAAAGGGGTGGAGAGGGATTCGCGGAAGAGTGGGAAAGGGAGGAGGGAGAGTGCGGTGAGAGAGACGCATGCTGGCGACGGAAGCGATGCAGTGCGGTGCGGAGGGACGGAGAAGGATAAGGCAAGTTGTGGAGGGATGGATGGGGAGAGGGCGGATGCTGTAAGAACCAGCGACAGGGATGGCGGGTGTGCCAGGGGCGGAGGGTGGGCGTTGTGCCCACAGCAGGCGGGGCAGCGCAGGAAGCGGGTGAAAGCAGTGGCCGTGGCGGCAGGGGGAGGTGCATGTGAGAGGGCGGGCAAGTATAAGCCTGGTGGGGGAGGGGGTAGGGGTGAGGCCGTGGAGTGTGTGGTGTGTGCGAGTCCGGCGAGTGGTGAGGCTGGTGGGGCGATGGCTGGACATGCAAAGGTGGGCAACAGTGACTCGCCCGTGCTTCTGATGCCTCTGTTGCCGCTGCTGCCCGTGCTGCCCGTGCTGCCCGTGGCGCCTGTGCTGCCAGCAGTGCCAGTGAGTGCAGGCAGGAGCACAGCGGGTGGGCGGCGGCGCCTGAGTGCAGCAGAGTTCTTCGGAAGCGGTGTGGACAAAAGCAGGGCTTGTGGAAGGGGCGCTGGCGCATGTGAGCGTGCTAGGGGCGAGGAAGAGCTGGAGTGTGGTGCAAGCAGCACGGCGTGTGAAGGTGCCCTCCCCGCTGTGTGCTCCGCTATTGACAGTCGCGGGTTAAGTCAAGGGATCGAGGCGGGGCAATGGAGAGATGGGGGAGATAACCGAGACGAGGCCGTCTGTCAGACAAAAGGAAAAGGAGGGACAGGAGGAGGGGGAGAAAGAGGAAAGGCAACAGTGGTGTGGGATGGGTGTGCTGTTGCGACTGTGCACCATGCTTCTGCATCTACTGCCGCCATTCCCGCTCCTGCGGTGGCTCGTATTCCTTCACCACCCGCAGTTTCCCCTCCAGAGGCCACAAGCTCACTCCACCAGCCCTGTTTCTTGATTAGCTCACACATGGAGTGTGCGGCGAGCACAGCAGCCATGGGGGGCACTGGGAAGGCCGGGAGGGCTGTGCCGGGGTTGGCAAGAGAAGGCACTGAGAGCAGCAGGGCACGCGGAGGCTGCACACAGGGCACAAGAGCAGAGCTGCACCCGTGGCAGTGCGCTGGGAGCCGATCAGAGAGGCATGTTGCGAGCAGGTCAGAGAGGTGTGTTGAGAGCAGGTCTCGCTCCGTCACCCCTGAGCCATCTGCTGGTGATCTGGACCTCTGTGTGGACAGGTGTCTCGCTATGATTGGCGGAGCAGAGGACAGCGGCGATGGTGCTGCCAGCCATGAGGAAGCTTCCATGCAAGGGGGCGGCAGATGGGGGCTGTTTGGGGCTGTGGGGATTCCTCAGGCAGTGTGTGTGCGTGAGCTGGGGAGTGTGCAGGGTACGTTCAGGCTGGCTGCTGAGGGAAGCTTTCCCGCTGCTGCTGCTGCTGCTGCTGGCGGTGCTGCTGGCGGTGCTGGTGGTGGTGGTGGTTGTGGCGGTGGTGGGGGTGCTTTATTTGGGGACGTGGGGCGAGTGGCGTTTGCACGGCATAAGGAGGTGCTGAGGGCAGCAGGGAGGCGGGGCCACTGGCAGGAGTGACAGCTGGCGGGAGTGACAGCTGGCGGGAGTGACAGCTGACGGGAGTGACAGCTGGCGGGAGTGACAGCTGGCGGGAGTGGCAGCTGGACGGGTTGGCTTGTGCTTTCTTCGGTTAGAGGAGTATTCTGAGGGTGTGTGGAGAAGAGGCGGGGTGGTAAGTGGCAACAATGCCTATTGAAACCCTCCGTTGTAAAAACGAAGAAGGTTGCTTTAGAGTTCGAAAAAATGGAGCGGGGGAAGGGGGGGGTGGAGGTGCGGGGGGGTTGGGGAGGAAGGGTCGTAATAGGAAGATATGTTAGACGACCCAGAGTCTTGTAGCATTACCCCGTAATAGCCCAGATATAAGCGCAGCTACGCTTATAATGAGGCAGTGTTTTCTATTATTTTAATTGACTCCAATTTATAAGTGTATGCACTTATAAAATGACAATCGCATGAGTTGACGGTATAATTGTCTAACAGCAACTTGTAGATCACGTGCTTGCCTTTTCAAATGAGTCGAAGTTACATGGGGTTGTGAGTGAAATTCTCTCGCGCGCTGGCAAATACGGTCGATGTAACCAGGCCCTCAGATTCGTTTTTGGCCGGTCTGATTCGACAGACTTAGCACGGTAGGCTGATTGATCAGCCTTACGGTAGTTAAAAAAAAGCTGAGTTCACAAAAAAAGGCAGATAAATCAATGTATAAAAAAAGTGAAGGCCGAATGAGCTTGCTTACTGTTACAATCCTAAACAGGACTTAGGGTACATTCCGCTGTGGACACTGTCCCAATCGATGTGTCCCAGTCGAGTGTACCGCTCCGAACCGAACTAAACCAGAGACGCGAAAATTTCGAAACTAGGGTGCAATTTGGTGTAATACGATGCAGTGCGGTAGAAACGATTGGGACACATCGATTGGGACATGGTCCACAGCGGAATGTACCCTTAGCCAGGGATCGGCTCAGGGTTGACCGCAGGTAGAATTGCAGCGAAAGTGTTGACCTCAGGTTAGAGTGAATGTAAATGGTAATGCATACATCGTGTTATATTAGAAATACAAAAGATTCCGAAACGACCTAGACTAGCCATGTAAAATAAAAGGTACGTTACAGCGAATTTAAACAGTGCGGCGCGGGAACCCGTTTCAAACATGCTCCCGCCATTTTCACTTCAAATGTTTTTGCCTGCATCAGTCTCGATCTGACAGTTGCTGATGTCGCTTCGACTCTTCTGACTCCTCGACTTCGTACTCAGTACCGTGATCTCCCGGTTAAAAGCCCCGGGGGTCTTATCCTAAATGTGCTTGAAATGGGTTGTGGGGTCTTATGTAATGGCATATAATGCATAAGACCCCTGGACATCTATTAATTACTAAAAAAATGGATTGTGTAGTGCAGTGTTGAAGAAATTCGAAAAATTCTGTACCGAATTTTGGATTCCTTTACAGCGCAGAAATTCATTCCCTGATTCTCGCACTCGAGTCTCCCTGATTCCTTTCCGCACGTTCAGAAATGCCGAATAATGACAGGCACGTCAGCATTTCTTGCCTGAAGGGCGGCAAAAACGGTGGATTGATGTGGCATCTTGACTCCCTTGACCACAAATTTGCCTAACAAAGTGAATTTGGTGGTTTTTTGTGTGACTCGCTTACCAGCTCATTAACTAACACCACTCTGAATAGCCTGAGGGGGGGTCTTATAATGATTTGGGTCAAAAGACGGGTCCTCTCCAGGGCTGACCAAATAAAAGACCCCTGGTCCGGATAGAAGACCCACGGGGCTTTTATGCGGGGGGGTCTTGTAACCGGGAGATCACGGTAAGTTAGCCCCTTCAACGTACAGGAATGCCTTCTCATAAAAGTTCATATCTCAACACCCCCTTCATTTCTGGGCGTGTCGAAGGCTGACTCCCTTGACTACTCCAGTGAGAATGGAGCAGTGCTGGTGGTACCGCTGACGTGGCAGTCGCTTGGTGAGGAAGTCAACTGCCATCTCAGTAGTAGGGCAATACGTGAGATCAACCTTGACCTGGTCAATTTCGTCCTTGACGAAAAAATATTAAAGCGCGATGTACTTCGTTCGGTTGACGAAGCCTGGCTTCTGATTGTCGCAGTGAAGGCGAAAGGTGGGCGAAGTTGGAATTCTCGCTTCCTGCAGCAGCTCTTGCAGGTAGAGCTCTTCGCGAACTGCAGTTGTGGCGGCGATGTACTCTGCTTCGGCCGACGACATGGCAACCAGCTCTTGCTTCTTGGAGTTCCATGAGATTGGGCTCGTTGGCTCGAGGTGGAAGACAAATGCCGGTTCGTGACCGTAGCCGGTGAGGTTGAAGGATGGCGTTGTCAGCGTGGAGTAGGAGAGCCCGATGTCAGGCGTGGAGACGAAGTACTGTAGGGCGTGCTATAGGTCCAGCTGGTTTTCTGCCACAGGCTTCTTTGAGTACTGTGCCAGTTGGCTGGCGATGCACGAAAGGTCAGGTCGGCAGGTGACAGAGGCGAACATCAGGCACCCCAGTTGCTGCTGGTAAAGTTGGAGTCCTACGGGTGACAGCAATTTGTTGTCCGGTTTGTAGTTGGCGGTGGGCGTGCGAGAGGGAGTTGAGAGTGGTGCGGGTGAAATTTAGCGCTCCCCCAGTTGCCCTGCGTACTTAGAGACTGACATTTTAATTGCATCTGGTGCGTTCAATCCCAGGAACTGTGTGACCTTGTGGTTGATGGTGGTGTCGACGCGCTGTACTAGGTTCTGCTCGAACTGGTTGAGGAGCGTGTTGCTGGTGCCTGTGTATAGCAGGTCGTCGACGTAGAATATCAGGAGGATGTAGTCGCCGTTGAAGTGAAGGTGATACATTCCGGGTCGTGCGGCAGTTGCTTGAAACTGATCTCAAGGAGTATCTTGTGCAGATGCTGCTGCCAGAGTTGCGGCGCCTGCTTAATGCCAGAATCGCGGCGACCCTTGGGTCTCCTTCCCCGTAGGTGTGCGGTTGCTCCACGAAGATGGTCGCATCGACTAGTGCGTATAAGAACGCGTTCTTCACGTCGACCTACCGCAGTGGTAGGTGCTTAGCGGTAGCGATGGCGAGTAGAATTCGCACAGAGGTATGGCTGCTCATTGGGGCGAAGGTCTGGTCGAAGTCGATGCAGTGGCGCTGGTCGTCCCACGTACGACCCACCTTGCCTTGAAGCGTTCGATAGTTCCGTCGGTAGCAGTTTTCAGACTAAACACCCATTTTTCAGATAGCACCCTCCTCCCCTTCACTGCTGCACGATTGACTAGGATCCAGGTGTCACATGACTCCAGCACTTTCAGCTCCGCATCCATGGCTGCATGCAACTCCTTGGCGTGTGGGCCTGTGAGGGCCTGCCGCAAGTTTGTAGGCTCGATGATGCGTGGGGCGATGGTTGTGGCGGTGTGGAGACCGAGCAGTTGCAGGCCGGTGAAATTTTAAGCACCATGTGCTTCCTGATTGGTTACTTCGACCACATCGTCGTCGTCATCGTCTTGTGCAGGCGGAGTGCTTCGTCCGGGGTCCAGGCGCCGAGAAGGTATGGGCGCAGGATCGTCGTCATCGCGTGGGCGAGGAGGAGCGCTGAGATGTTCATCAGCGGGGTCGCGGTCGAGAACCGCTGCAGCTGCTTCATTTTCTGGGGAAGCGAAACTCCTGCCGTTGTTGGCGTAGGCTTGTGTTGCTCCTGCTCGCTGTTGAGCCAATTGTCAAGGGTGAGGCGTTTGTAGAAGATGATGTCTCGCGCAGGTACGATCTTGTTGGTGTCGATGTCCAGGATCAGCCAACACTTGTACTCGTAGTTGATCCCCAGGTGTACTCCCCAGCGTGCCTGGTCGGTGAACTTCCCGATCGTTGCAGAGGTTGGCCTGTATTGCACCATGCAACCCCAGACCCTCAACATGGAGGTGTCTCCCCTTGCCCCAGTCCACTTCATGTGGGGTGAGAGGTAGCTCCTGTTGGCAGTGGTAGACAGAAGGTTGTGTAGCCTTATGGCGTGATGTATGGCGTAAGGCCAATACATGAGGGGAAGGCCTGATTGCTTGAGGAGCGTGCGAACTATTCATAATGGGTGTGCGGTTGACACGCCAAGCGACACCTTGCTGTTGGTGAGCATAGGGGAGTGACATGTGGTGCAGGATCCCCTTATCCATGAAGTTTTGCAGCTCCTTGCTGCGGAATTCCTTTGCGCCATCTGTCTGCCATATTTCCATCTTCTTTCCTAGTTGCTGTTGTGCGTGAGCCAGCCAAACCCGAAAAACATCAGGTGCCTTCGAGGGAACGTCGACATTTGCGACCCAAACGTAGCACGAGTTTGCGTCCACGAAGGTGAGAGTGTAGCTCCCGTCATTGACCCCGCCGTACCCAATGACAATGAAGTCGCTGTACACTTTATGCAGCCTTTTGTAGCGGTTGGTGCTGGGTTCGAGCGAGGGGTAGGCGTGATGTGAGAGAGCGGCTGCGGGGCAGACGGTGCAGATTTGCGGCTGTGAAGTCCTCCGTGGTTCGGTGCCGTCAGGGCGCAGCAGGGCGCCTGGCAGGAAGACTTTAGCGGTGAGACAGTTGTTGAAGGTCTGCCGCGAGGGGTGGCCAAGCCATTGGTGCCAAAGATCATCGTCTGCGCGAACTCCGGGAGTGCGCATGTATCGTGCGTGATGTGCGGCTGCCTCTACTTTTGTCTCGTAGGGAATGGTGAGTACTTACCCTTCTTCTTCTCCAGGTTCCACCTCTGCTTCTGCTTCTGCTTCTGCTTCTGCTTCTCCTTCTACAGGCACTGTTGACATCGCAAGTGCGCGAAATTTGCGGTCGGGGATGGTAAGCAGTGGAATGGTGGTTCCTTCGATGAGCCGAGCGAATGAGTCTGGGCGCGAGGCGTCGCGCAGCGGAGTTGAAGGTTCATTCCTCTGGTCGAGCCCGGTCCATATTGAGCGCCAAATTTGAGGTGTGCGAGGTGGTGATGGCTGGTTGCGCGAACGTCGCCCGAGGGGAACTAAAACTCTTGGTGGATTCCGCTCGGCGGC